TTCCTTGACATAAAAATAAACTACAGAGGGCTTTTCTTTACTCACTAAGAATTAGTTAATTCCTGAATTTATGAGGATTTTAGAAAATACGTGAGGAGAGGTTTTTTAAAAGCTGCTCAGGCAGTGAAAGGGAACGTGCTGATTCAAGAGTTCTTTTCTGTATATCCTTGAGGCTATTATGTATGCCAGACAAATTACACACCAGAGACTGAATGTTTACTGGGGTAGTCAAACATTTCACGGTAAACTTTCAGGGACCTCATCTCTTTCAGTAATCCTGTGTTTTAATACATTAATGCAATTCAAGACTATTTGGTCTTTTGAGGATTTCCATAAATGTTTTGGAAGGTCAGTGTACAGTTCCAGTTGTTTTAGATAGAATCCAACTGAGGTAAAGACATAATAATGTGGCTCTATAAAATAGAGCCATATAAAATGGCTCTAGATATTAAAAAACAAAACAAACAACAACAAAAAAAAACCAACAAAAAACCAACAACAAAAAATGAAACTAAAGCAATTGAAACAAAAAACCAATCAAACAAAAGCACATAAACAACAACAAAACAAAACAAAACAAAACAAAAAAACCCAACAAACCAAAACCAGTAAGAAAAACCAAGCCAAAACAAAAAAAACACCCTTGATAGAATTGTTTGTCTATGGTATGTAAGAGATACTGGAGAAAAGAGCCATGCAAATTTCAGCATGGGGATGGGCTAGGTATGATAGATGTTACATGTTTTAATCATTCCACCAATGTCTTTCCTAATCTTTCTCTCTTGTTGCTGTTAAAGAAGAACAGTACATATCACTATATATTATTTCTCTTTCTCTACAATCTGGCTTTCAAAAGCATTTGTTTCCCACTTGGACTCTCCAAAGGCAGAAGGAAGTGACAGTGTTTAAGAGCATAAGGGCAGTGCCTATTCTACTAACAATTTCAAAGCTCAACAGGATTCTCTAAGTGTTAAAGAAATTTAACCTGTAGCGCACTAATGTGTTTTACAAAGTACAAGGGATTAGATTAAACCATGAACTCTTGGAAACAAGGGAGCTGTACCACTGACTCTGCCAGAGGGTAGGATTTATTCCACATTGCATCCCATAAAAGATCTATAAATACAATCTGAGCCTGAATTGTCCCTATAAACAGGAATGATGCACCTTGTTTTATAAAGACTCCGTTGTCTAACTTGAATGGAAATGAAGAAGATTTGGAGTGGGAAGATGTAGTGCTACAGCAGCATAACTAACATGTCATAACTAAAACTCACTCAGTGCATTTTTACAAATATACCCTGGGACTGGACAAGGACTGTCTTATCCACACAGAATCAGACTTTGTCATTGTTCTACTTGAACCTTGAGAGAATATTTCTCACAAGGAAGTGGTTGTATAGGGGTTATGTGGGCAATGTAGGAATTATTAGGAAGAGAAAGGCCATCTATATTTTCAGGGTTTTCTATTCCAGGTTTTCTATGTCCCAGGTTTGACATAGAGAAAACATTATAAAGCTACAGCACTTGTCAGAAGGATTGCTGGGTTTTACAATTCACCTAGAATCTGGTAAGAGATGTATAGGGACAATGGCATTTGAGCCCCTTTTTAATTTTGCACAGTACAGTTCAGAAAATCCATCTATCCTGAGAAAGAGCGATCTGTGTGCCTCCCACAATAATTTATAGCAAGTCCTAAGGTAGGACAGACACAGTTCAATAGTACAAGTAGTGTGGCATTTTAGAGCATCATGGTTTGTAATGTTACTCTTACTGTATCATGTTACTGTAAGTGCTTCATACCCAAATGAAAAGTACAACAGTCATGTAAGGCCCCAGAAAGGTGAGGAGAACAAAGCAGCTGTGAGACGAAAACTCTCCATTTTTCAATGCTCTGAGTACAAAGAAACTGAATGTAGAATATTTCAACTTTGGTCCTTTATTTACAATGTATACCAAGAAAGTGTGAAACTGTTCTTTTGGGGAAAAGCCAAGATGTTTTGTAGCTACTCCACATTTGTTGTATGTGACAATTAGACATAATCCAGCCCCTCAAGATTTGAGTTACAAAAAATCATTAATTTTATGACAAACATGCTTGACAGTATCATAAACCAGTGGTAAGATTTACTTTCATCTTAATAAAGAATATTGGAGGTGTGACCCTCTTTCCTGATATGGGTTCTGATATCTGAAGAATGTAAATTGTGCATTTTGGGTTCGTTTGAGTAGTTGACAGAGGAAACCACACGTTTTATTCCAGTCTTTGGTTTAACTGGAAGCTTTCAGCATGTACGCTAAAAGTGTGGGAAAGGGACCTGTTTTTCAGAGTTCTAACTATTCTAGTTATGGAATTTGTCAAGTTGTTACACACAGTAAGTCTTTTAAGGCTACTTCCAACTTCAGGAAAGTTCACAGATAAGCAAGGCCTTTGCAAGACTGACTGCCCAGCTCAGCACTGTTCAGGGTGAATAGAAGTGCAGAGGTAACTCACACCACTCTGGTGATGCTGGTCATAGGGGAAGAAATGTGAGATTCTGTTATAATGTTTTCAATTTTTCCCATATTCTTGACTATTGCTGAAGTCTGAAAGCTACTTTGAGATTAAAGAAATTGAAAAAAAATATAGTATGGGAGTTTGATGTACTACTCACACACTCACATACACACACAATCCTCCACACTTCTCTCCTCCCTCCTCTTTAAAAGTAGCTATCTCACACATCAAAGGTTGAAGGGTATTTTTGGTATATTCATAAATCACTCAGGAGATGAACAAGCTTACTTGTTCCAAATGATGAAAGTTCAAAGTATTTCATTTATCCTAACAGTTCATTAATGTAACCACTCATGTGGCTCCCTCATTAAGCCTCCCTGTCTCCTATTAATAATAATTTAGCTAAATATGTGATGTTTCAACAAGAGTGTTCCTACTTTCATATATAATTATACTAGATATAGGTATAGTATCTTGATAAGAATCTTCCTTTTCACAGATTCCTTGATCTAAATACAGTTTGAAGTTGCCACAAACTACACTAAGTGCTGCATAGACTACGTTTGTCTGAAAGACTGTTACTGAGCTGGCTGTAGAGTACTTGTTTCCAAAAATCCCCGTGTGAGCAGAGCAGCGTTGGCATCTTTCCTGAGCAGATAAAAACCTGTAGAGAAGAAAAACACTGGAGCAGAACCCACAAAACCACTTACACAACTTAATGGGTCCCAGGACCTTCAGGTAAACTCTAGCAGTGAAAAAAGGCAGTGAACTTTGCAAAAGAATGGGGCAGAGGACCTGAATGTCCTATTGCCTGTGTGAGAGCTTCAGCTAGTATACAAAAAGTGACCATTTCCTTCTTCAGCTGTTTTCAGAAGGGAGCTAATTGCCTGTACTTTAAGAGATGATTTAAACCAAGACAGTTAAACTTTGGCAGTCATGGTTGCCAGATCTGTTTTTACAACCTGCCACAGCTTTGTTCACCTCTGCTATCAATAGTACATTTCTTTCATGACATAAGTAAACAACTTTATACCTTTCCTCTCCAAGTCCAAGAACAGTCCATTTCTTCCTCCTTTTCCATTCAAGTATCACATCTTCCCTTTTTTCCCCCAGCACATTTCTGTCATCTCACTGATATCTCATTTTCCCACTCTTGTACAGGATAGCCCACCTTCACCATATATAGCACTTTCACAACCAATCCCCAAACCACACTGTGCAAACAGCCTGCTTTTCTCTCCATCCTCCTGATTTCCAGTTGCATCAACCTGCCTGCATTCTCTCTCAGCTGTCTCACAAGCTACCAAATTCTGTTCTGCTATGCACCACAGCATGATGAAAGGTATCAGCTTCACCAGAGAAGAAGGAAAGAGTTCAAACAGAAACTTAACAGCCAGACATCTGAAGGCAGTATCGAAAAAACTCAACACCCACACACCAATGCCCCTTTGGGGATTTAGCTCCTAACAGTTCCCTGAAGGTGACAAACCAGGGAGAATATTCAGCCTGAAGATGATAACTGAGTGCATGTACATATGTATAGGTATCTATAAGTCCTGAGGCAGATCTAACAACACAGTGTGCAGGTCATTGAGGTTATCAGATTCTCAAATAGCACTAAATGCCTATATTTAGGAACTGGAATTGAGCAATAATGGGAGCATAGTCATATTGGAGGCCCTTACATTTACGTGTCTTTACTTACAAACTATAGCCACCCCACTGAGACAAACTAAAACAGAATCACGAATTTGGCTTGGGCTTTTCAAGGACAACCACAAAACAAGGCAGCCTGCTGATTCTGGTAGGATGAAATCACATAACCTGACACTAAAAATTGTCTGTACATTATACTGTATAATATATTATACAATATTATAAACCACAACAGAAGTGACAATCCAAGCAGTCATATGGGTCTTCACACAATGCTGCTGATTCATATTGCTAACTGGTAATGTTTCTATCAGCTTGATTAAAGTATGAAAACCTTCCTGACTAGCTACCTGCTCAAAGCCTTTTATGCTCCTCATCGACATTTTCCCAGGCATGTTCCCTCATCCTTCTTGGTCCTTCCCTTTTTCCCCTCTGGTCTTCGTCTAGATAATCAGTCAACCCTTAGTTATTTTTCTCCATTTTCACCAGTTCTGCTGTATCTGTATTCAACTTTGGTATTTTCCATAGAGTTACCTAGGTAATCTAGACCTTACACAGTTTTAACGATACTGTTACCTAGGCACTGCTGGCATTAAGAGTTTCTCTCCCAAGAAGATGCCTCCAATTATTGTGAAGTGTGCCAACTTTCATGTAACTCACCTTTAACCAGCTGTGAAACACAACCAACCTTCACAGCACTATTTCTAACTTTTTACAGCTTCTCACTCTGTTATTCATTATGTCCCACAAGATAACGTCTCATGTCGTGTTCAATTAGCAGAACTGCGAGCCATTTCCCTGTCATTTCCCTGCACACTTTACACTTGGCTGCTTAGCTTTTGCCTAATTTTACCTTAACCATAAAAATTACTTTGGGATTCATTTTTCTCCTGAAATTCGGTTCCATGGAATTAGTTATCTTATTTCCAACTATATTTTAAAATAAGGAAATGTCATTTGGTAAGAGGATAACTAAAGGCACACTCATTAATTGCAGGTAGAATATTTTGATGGTTTGAGTAAACACCACTGTTATCTTTTTTATCTTTTTATAATTTTATTTAAAAATATCATAGTTTCTGTCATCAGATAGGACCATACCTGTTATTAATAAGACCTCTAAAGGTCTCAGCTGCCTGTGCAGAAGGAAGTTATAACAATGTCATCTAAAAATGTCATTTGACTCAGGAAAAACAAATGTTCTTTCTCCAGTAGTTAGTAGGTTCCTATGACAAAAAGAGGACTGGTATATAATACTTTCCCAAGTAACCTGCAACCACTAATTAATTCTAAGTTTAAGAGATATACTAATTCTGATGGTATATATACATTTAGTAAAATTTAGTGAACCTTTCTTCCAATCTCATGTTGGTCTGTCCTTGAAGTCTCATAAATATGCTGAATCCAGAACATCATTGCCAAGGATCTTCAAAGGCCTGACTCTAACACCATGAAGAACTTTAGGTTTGGAGTCTTTTTGAACTTGGCTCATGCTGGTTTCATTTGCTGCCAAGAGTTTCTCCTGCTAAGACAAGTGAGCAGACACCCTCCCCATGGTCTGGTCTTGTTCTACAGAGCATGGTCATTGGTTGTCTCTTTTCCAGAATGAGGAATCCCAGGCTCTTCTTTTTCCTCAAATTCCTCAAATATATTCCTCCTTGTTCCCTTGGCTTCTTTGGAAGCCATTCCATCTCATCTTTGATCGCCTTTGTTGTTCTTCTGCAAAGAAGAAAATTTGGGGATTTAAATATGTGTGGTGAGGGAGAAAAACCCCAAAGAACAACACCTACGAAAAAATTTTATATTCAGCCACAGCTAGAAGTGCCAAGAGAGAAGAGGATTTATAGAATGGCATAACAAATGTTCTCTCTTTTGTTCTTTATTCACTTTCTAATAACCATTAAGACTGTCTTTGCCAATTTTGATATCTACCAAGTACTGAGCAAGTATTTTCATACAACTGTCTATCATAACCCCAAATACCAAATACTGAGTAATAACAGATCTCATAATTTTCCTTTAGAATACAAGATTTTTTTTTCTAAATGAATCATATTTTTCTCTGTACATGTTAAATTTTATGTATTTCAGTCGCCACAGCTGATAGACAGCTCAAAAGATTTAATAGCAAAGATGTCTATGTATTCTGATTTAATTTTGTTCAAATTTCAGAAGTTACTCTTTCTAACAACAGATGTTCTGAGATCTTAAAAGCCATTACAATGAAATGACTGCTTTAAATGCTTTTAGATGTTAAGAAGGAATACTTTTTATTTAGTTACTCCTTTCCCTACTTGAGAAACTTGTGCATTTTGTTTCTGTATACTAGAATTAAATGTCTGCCTCTGTTTTTTTCTATCAATGTAACAGTAACATGTGGTACTGTCAAAAGAAAGATGAGTTTTGAATAGTTCATTTTGTGAATACCTTGAATGCTGATAAATACCCGGTACTTTGATATGGGCTATGGCATATCAGCATACCCCTGTTGTTGTTTTGTTGCTATGTACTTCTATACCCAGGTGAATAATAGATTTCAAAAATGCTTACATATTTAAAAACTATGAGAATAATAGCAATCAAATGCAAGGTCAGTTCCATAATCTCAGTAGCTTCTTTATCCAGCTAAAATTGAAACATACCCTGTAAAAGTGCTACAATTTGCGATAAGCAAAAAAAATACAGGAAAAAATTATAAACATGCATTTAACAACAACAAACAAACAAACAAAAATCTGTCCTTCATTTTACAGCAGTGAAGTGTTCCTACTATTCAATATACATTATTTGTGAGCTCTTCTGTGCAGCAGTATCAACGTTTACCCAAGCATGATGAAAATGATAAATTGTTCGTGGGAGTTCATATCTATTGTGCTTGTAGGTCAGCACTTGCTTTAAGAAGAAGCCCACCAGAGTCTCAAATGAAAGAGAAAAGAACTGATAAATATGAAATCAGCATAGGAAATACCTTTTGATAAGATCTGTGAATATGCCAAAACAACTTGCTTTTGGCTGGGATTGACATATTAAATCTCAGTTTAATGGTTGGTTCCAGGGGGACTTGTTTATTTATTATTTACTATTAAACAAGCTATTGTTAGGAATGATCTGTTTACTCTGCATGTTTGAGTGTATGTGTGCCTTTAACACATATCTTAGCATGCACTGGAGTTTCCCATTTTGGCTTGATGTTTTTGTAAGTATATATTTTGGTTTTATTTGTCTGAATTTCCTGTCAGGATGTACACTATCTTTAAAAGGAGGCAGCAGAAAAAAAGCCTTTTAAACATCAACAGCACTGAAAGCAGTGCCTTATGCTGCAGTTACAGACTGAAAGTACTTTCTTCACTGGGACAGAAAATGTTTCTTTGCACCCTGTAATGAGAGCTTTATTGGTAGTAAGATCAGGAGAGGAAGGGGACACGTGAAATTGTAGACACAGCTCACTGTGTAGGTGGTATAAAAGACTGGGCTTCTTACATGTCTCAAAGTGGAGGGCCAAATTCAGGGCCTGAGTAGCTGTAGAGGAGCCAGGAGAGGCTTTGCACCATGCTGTCACTGCTCCTGGCATTTAGGCAGACCCAATTCTACCTGGCTCTCCACAGAAAGACAAGGAAAAGTTAAACTCCCCAAGAGGTCACACTATCATGTGTATGGAGACTAGGAGGGAATTGGATGTTAAATAATTCACTCCTGCCCACACTCCATTTATCATTTCCGGAGTTAGCCTTACCTGTCCCTGTGGGAAACTATTGTGTTGATAACAGGTAACCATGCAGTGGGATGATATGCTAGTGTGGTCATAGCTGTGCTTTCCCAGTTTTACATATATTAATCCAATCAGAAATTAATAGGAATGCTAAACAGGACTATGAAAGATTATTTTCATTTTCTCTGTTGCTGCATAGCAGGATAGAAAATAACCAAAAGCCCCTAGAGGCATATCTGTTTGTCTAGAACATAGGAAGGGATTTGCAACTGGAATTAGAGCATTTCACAACATGGCCATGGCTCTCTAAGAGCTGAAAACATAGGCAGAAACTCAGTTAGTGGTGCATCTTTCTTTACAGAAAGGTTTCATGCAGAAAAAAATAGCAGCAACCTTCATGAAATATGTTGGAAACACTTGTTCACAACAGGTGTTCAATAGTAGTAGTGGGTATCGAGTAGCAGTGTTGAGTGCTACATAGCAGAGAAGTAAATTGTGATCGAACAAATGAATATGAAGGAAATGCAGACAAATTTGACTCAGTGCTCATGGACACATACATATATATGTATATATATAAAACAAAACTTGCTTAAAGTTTGCAGTTCAGTCTATCATTCCTTCTTCTAATACTCTATAACCACTGTCTTGGTACATAGGGGGTTAGAAGGTCATTCTTCAGGAGACTTAACAAGAGGCAGCTGTTTTGGCACTGAAGGAATCAGCTAAGTACAGACTGGTTTTTCCAGAAGAGAGAGAGTTTGTAAAGAGATGTGGGTTTTATTTCACAATCAGCTGACAAAGCTGGGAGAAACAGATATCTAAGATTTCTAGCCCACAAACCTTTCATTAGATCATTTGCTTTGCCAGAAGACATGGTGTTGAAGCCTTTTCCATGGCTAGGCCAGACAGCTGTCTGAAAAGGTAGGTTTAAACCCTGTTTTCTTTAGTGCATCTAAAAGTTCAGCTTTTTTCAACTGCTTCTTACTGAGAAGTAAAATAGACTTTGTCTCTTACTCAGCCTTTCCCAGAGTCTGATGGCACCTGGCTGCTACCAAACTGTGAAGTTTGGATCTTTTTCTGAGAAGAAAATATACGCATCTACTGTCTTTGGGTTTAGCTTTGAAAAGCAGTTCAGTTACATCTGTTTAGCAAAGGGACAAATAAGAGGTTCAAAGTCATACTTTTTCTTGTCTTTCTGTGTTCTTCAAGGAAACTGAATTCAGAAAGTAATGCCTCAGACCAATTTAAAACAATGAAAATAACACTAGATGGAGTGTAAAAAATGGAACTTACATAAAATAGGGAAGAATACAAAGCAGGGAAGGAAGGAAGGAAGGATGGAAGGAAGGAAGGAAGGAAGGACAGAAGGAAGGAAGGAAGGAAGGAAGGAAGGAAGGAAGGAAGGAAGGACGGAAGGAAGGAAGGATGGAAGGATGGAAGGAAGGAATGACGGAAGGAAGGAAGGAAGGAAGGACGGAAGGAAGGACGGACGGACGGAAGGAAGGAAGGAAGGAAGGAAGGAAGGAAGGCAGGAAGGCAAAAGCTGCATGTAAACTCGAGAAGGATGTGACAAATACCAAAACAGCACTGAAATTAAAACATTTCCCACCAGAGAGGAAGATAAATGCAACAAGAATTGACAGTATTGTAAAAAAAATCCCATAAGCATTGAAAGTAAGCTAGGAAAAAGAAAAAAAAAAATTAAGGAGATGTGGAATGAGTCACCCTGGAAATTAATAAGATTGTCACAATACAAATGAAAATACAGTTTCAATATTGAGAAAAAAATTCATTTAGACTGAGGAAAAAATTTAACAATTGATAAAAAGAGCAAATTTGAAGAAAATATTTAACATGAGGTGCGAAAAGAAAACTGGACTACAGAAATTTTTTAAAAAGGGAAAGCCTTATCAAAAGGAGGAAAAGTCAACACAGTATCTAAACAGGGACCAGTTTGCATTACTGTGCAATGAAAGAGAAGCTTTACTTAAGTCCACAAAGAAAATAAGTCACATTTTCATTGTTAAGTCATCAGTAAGAATAGTAAGTTTTAAAGAAACAAGAAATCTGCAATGTTAACTACAAGTCTTTTTCATGTCTGCTTGCTACTGAGTCATGTTGTGGGTTATTTATACTTCATACAGAAGAGAGAGGAAACAGTAAAACAAATCTTGTTTTTATAGTTAGTGAATTCTTTTCTTGACAGATTTATTTCCAAATTAATTTCTTTGAATTTGGCTTGTCACAGTACAAGCTAGAACATCTTTTCCTGATAACTGAAAGCAAAGATAAACAGTGTCACCCTACCACAGCCAAGTGTTTTCTAGGCTATAGAGAGCTTTCTCACCAACCATTTTTCAGTTCAAGAACCAGAGGAGATTTGTAGTACTTGGCCTCTGTCCTGTGTCTTTTCTAAATCACTGACATCTGCTTGAAGCAAGTGTAAAGTACTATCATAAAAGGATATTATAAATTAATTCTTATTCTGACCAGGTATGCACACACACTAAGAGACCAGAGAAAAATCTTCTAATCCATCCTTATTATCTCTGCCTTACAGGCTGTAAAACTGCAGATGAGTTGCTTAGTGCAGACATTTGTGGTCACATTTTAAGGAGAGTAAATTTGTGATGTAAAGGTTTGAAATTATGGAGAGTCTAACATATTCACTGGTGATCTGTTCTAAATGTTTATCATTCACCTTGTAAAATATTATAGTGTATTACCTACTGGAAGTGAAAGTTAACTATCAACATAATGACCATGTCAGGTTCAGATTCTCTCTATGTAGTAATTTACTGTGGAAAACTAGGAAATAGTTGTGCCATTTGTGAATGCTGAGCTAGTCCTTCAGTGTGGGTGTGCTCACAATGGGAACTTACTCATGGCACAAGTACAAGGGAACTCTTAAAGAAGCCCTGTAAGGAAGTGAGCACACTGAACTATCTAAAGCTTTTCCAGAACCTATTTGAGTAGGTAATTATGTTAGCAGCTATTAAGAGGCAATCGTTTAGCCTTGTCAGACAGTCTTTGGCCACAGCTGAGCACCTGATGATTAAAAAGGCACGAAACTGCTCAAAAGTTGGTCCCAACAAGGATGGAGGAGGAACATGGAAGTTGCTGCAAGTTCAAGTGTACTCAGAAGCAACACAACCGAGTTATGTCTACCTACCAGCTTGAGAGAAAGCCAAGCACACATTACTGCAGTCCTTCAGGCATTGGCTTTATACTGTGTATTATAATAATACCTATACATTTTGCTATGCAAATTTGTATTATTCTTATTCCTACTGAGAAACTAAACTAAATGCAAAACAGCACTGGAGATGGAGTTTGTCTCAAATATATTATCTATTTGTATTAGTAACTTGTCTTTCATGTGTATCAGTGTGTTTGTGCATGTTTGCCTGTGTATGGGTTTAGAAACCATTAGAGGTTTTTCCTGGCACTTAGGCTCTTTCTATAACATTAAATCAGCTGACTAAAATCTTTAACATCTTCCCTAGGACAATCCTAAAATAGTTTTTTATTGGTGGAGCTCAGTACATGGAACTTGTTTCTGCCCATGATACCAGAAGTCCATTTAACAAGAACTGTCACTCAAAGTTAATCCTTCTCCTAATGAGCCAATCTCTATTGTATTTAAATTCTGTAGTACCCTGAAAGATGCTGACCTTGCATAAGAAGACACAACTGCAGTCTGCTTTCCAAATACAATTGACTGCTTGAGCATCTCGACATTTCCTCCTCCAACTTTTGTTCACTCAGTAATTTCCAATTCATGTCAAGATAGCTCATAACGTCCCAAACAGCCAGGTACAGCAGGTGGACTTTGAAATGTAAAATTGACACAGGAGGGGTTTTTTTTTCAAATTGAAGGACAAGCTGGTAGATGTGGCTCCTGTGTCTGAGGACTGAGAGGCTGGGTAGAACAGGGTACCTATAAAGCACCAAGCGTTTTTATACTTAAGTTGCCCACAATTAAAAGTCACATCACATCCTTGCAAAATAGACTGTTTCCCTCGGATGCGAACAGTATCGCAAACACAGATACCATTCACATGGCTTCTGGGCTGCACTTCGGTGGGCCTGGGATGAAGCTCAGGACTGTGTGTGCCATCTTACGCTCCCAATTCCTCTCGTGTTTGTCAGGGATGTTTGCATCCCAAGAGGGATCAGTTTGGCACGGGAAGGCCGTGGGAAAGCAGGCCGCAGCCCAGGAGGCAGGGTGCCCGCTCCCGCCGGATCAGGGTGCGCTCAGGGTTGGGGTCTCGGCTGGGGCCCCACACGGGGCCCAGTTGCGTTGCTCTCCATCCCCCCACATTTCCCACCGCCTCCCCATTTCCCACCACGGGGGACCTGGTGTTTGTTTGCCTTCATTTTTCACTTCTAGTTTTGGTGGGGTTTGTATTCTTTTCTTTCTGGTCTTGTTTTGACTTCCCGCAGAAACGGTGCCAGTGCCGGCGTCCTGACCCACTTCTCCGGCAAATAATGATATTCCGCCGCTCCAGCCCCTTCCCCCGCTGACCCTCCAGTTCCCAGGGATCACGCATCCCCTCCGCTTCCTGGCGCGGGCAGCAGCCGGCGAACAGCACCACTTCCCAAGCGGCTGCGCTCGCAGCCCCGCCGATGCCCCGCGCCCGTTCCCACGGCAGCGCCGCGGTGGGGAGCCGGCCCGAGGCCATCGCTCCCGAATGGGGCTTCTCGCCTGGGGGGCTGCTGGGCTCCGCGTGCCCGGGGTCGCACCGACCAACCCCGCACCTCGCTGACCTCCGGAGGCCTCAAGAACCCCACATCCCCCCTCCCCGTCTCCTCCTCGAAATAAACTTTTCTTCCCACGCCGAGGGGACGCTGGCGGTGTCCCCGGAGCTGTCCCCGCGCGGAGCCGCTCCCCCCCGCCAACGCCGGAGCTACGGTGGGGTCCTCGATCCCGCGGCCACGCTCTGGCCTCGGTGGTGTGAACCCCTCCCGGCACCCCGTTCCCTCCCTCCTGCCGGTTGGTGGGGCGGGGGTGGTTCTGCCCCTCCTGTCCTCGGGGCGCGCCGTCGCACTAGCCCGGGCACAACACCCCTCCCGCACCCGCACACATACACACCCGCACACACCGACACACCCCCTGATGCGCACACACATCGATACATACACACCCGCACACACACACACCCGCACACACCGACACACACGCCCTGAGGCGCACACACACTCACCCACACACACACCCCCCCCGCACACACCCCCGCACACACCGACACACACACACATCCCGACACACACACACATCCCGACACACACGCACATCCCGACACACACACACATCCCGACACACACACACACACACATCCCGACACACACACACACACACATCCCGACACACACACACATCCCACACACACGCGCGCGCACTACCGCGCGCGCACACGCCACACACACGCGCGCACACGTGCACGCCTGCCTAGTGCGGTCTCCGCCCCCCCGCGCACACACACGCACGACATACACACGATACACACACGCACACGATATACACACACGACATACACACACGCGCGCGACAGACACATTAAGCGGACACCCGCGCACACGCACCCGCACACTCGGGCACACCGCAAGCCCCGCGCGCTCCCCCGCAGCCGCTCGCGGCCCCCGTCATGCGCTGAGGGAGCCGCGGCCCCGCCAGCTCCCAGTGCCGCTGATCCCGCCAGCTCCCAGTGCCGCTGATCCCGCCAGCTCCCAGTGCCGCTGATCCCGCCCGCCCGCGGCGTGGGGGCGGCCGCCGGGCGCGGCCGCGGTGCGGAGCCGGCTCCCCGCGGGCGAGAGGTGCAGCAGCCCGCGGAGGCAGCGGGTGGGCAGGAGGCTGAGAGGCATCTGGGCAGGCAGGCAGGCAGGCAATCGAGAGGAGACGAGGGACGATTTGGACATGCTCATTCTCGGGCGTTTGGTTGCCTGCATCCAGCTCGTCTGTATCCTCAGAGTGGGTGAGTGATCTTTGCATGAATTCATCTTTGGTCTTCGGAACAACTTTTCTCCTCGGGCTCCGGTGGGTTTTGCTCCTGATCCCTTTTGCTTAGAGCTGCAGGCGTCGTCCCTGTCTGTTCCACACCGTGAAAACACGCTGTCGACACCATGGGTGGGAGCGTTTCCCCTACCCCTTTTAGCTCAGCCGCCGGGCTCCGCGGATGCGCGGTACCCCACGCCACCCCCGGCAGCGGCGGGCTGCTCCGGGGGGGGCTCCCCAACGCGCCCTGCCCCGGCTGCCCCAGCGCTCCCCGCCGAGCCGCTGTCCAGCGAGCGCTGCGCTGGGGTCCGGCCTCGCCGGGCTGCCCGGACTCGCGGGGGAGGGAGCGGGTGTGCGCCGGTGACAGGAGGGAGAGAGAGAATCCGTGCCCAGCAGTGCTGACATCGAGCTTCTCCGGGTACGTGGGATGTGAGATGTTACTTCAGGCTATCTCATGAGCTCTTCCGAAGAGAACTGGGGCTGGTGCAAAATTTCACTCCAAAAAAATACTCTTTCTCCGAGAACAGGCAACCTGTCAGTGATTGCCCTAAACCATGCGAAATACAAGTCGTTCATTCACGTGGAACCCCGCATACAGAATATGGATTCATATATAGATTTTAGTGGGACTGCTTACATAACCAAATTCGTTTTCAGCTTATGCAGATCTGTGCAACTGGAGTGCATCCTAAAAATCATGCAGTGCTCTGTTTCACATTATAACCAGCGTGAGTCAGTTTATGGTGTTATAAGTGCTCTCTTCAGTACTTGTCAAATACTGGGAACTTAAGTGGTGGCGCTTGTATCTTACTGGATAATCGTTTTGAATTTGTCAGCTTTTATCGAATAGATCACTAGATAATACTAGTTGGCTGCTTGTATTTCAACATGAGGAACTTGGGAGCTTCAGCTCCTCGTGTACAAAACCAGTCTTTCAATAGGTCTGTGGCGATAAAGTAGGCACTAACCTACATTTGTCACCCAATAGGTGGTGCTGCTTCTGAAACCATGCAGCTCCATAAACAAAGATCGGGGTTAGGTTACTCGGAGTGAAAACAATTCCGTACCGAGTTCTGCTAGTTAGCAAAAGCTACTTTTTAAAATTTTATCACGTGAAAAATATTTTTACTTCCTTTCAGAAAATACCATGGAATGGTTCAACTATAAACGTGATGACTAACTGACCTTCAGTTAAAATGTATGATCCTTGTAAGGGCATTAATAGCATTTAAATGTAACTTTTAAACTAACCTATTTCTAAAAACAGGCTATTTAGCCCAATATAATTATCTTATACTAGTTTGGCAAAGAATGGCCTGTCATAAAACTTTTGATATGTTTTCATAATGTCTTTCTTATACTGCCAACCTGTTTCCTAAAATCGAAGGTATTCCCAAGGCTATCTAAAGGAAAAAAAATAGCAGATTGTTTTGTATGAGTTTGAGAACAGATCAAGTATACCATGATATGATATAATATCAAATAATATAATACAACTCAATTCAATTTTGGAAAGAATTTCCCTGTTCCAATCCTATCGCACTGGAAGCAATGCAAGACATAAACATAACTTTTGTAATGAAACCTTTCTATCATCTTATTAGAAATAAGATGGTTTTATATAATGTGATATTCAAGTACTGTAGGTTATATTCATGAATTTAGAAGAACGGGCAGGATGGGAAAAGGTTTTTTACTCACACGTGGGGTATAAATGCAACTAGTTTTTGTTTCTCTAGACTGATACATTATTATTTTCAAACCTGACCTGAAGAGGACCCCCGTTCTAGATGTGATGAATTAATTGTTCTCAATAGTGCATCATTCTAAAGACTCATGAGCTAGACTGCTCAGTGTGTTCAACAGCATGATTGTTCTCAAGCATGAATACCTTGTACAGGTTATTAAATTAATTTGATCAGACTTTATTTGAATATGTTCCTCTTTGAGTATTTCTCCATAACTAAATATGCTATAATGTGATAGCATTAGTTCATAGAAAAAATATTTTCTTAGAATTCTGATATTATTTTCTTTGTGTTTGTTTTTCCGAAAAAGTACAAAATAAATTATTGCATACTACCAGTGCATGGTTCCAATTGGTTAGAGAGAACTGGGTTGGACTGTCTGGCTCTTACCAGTAAGTACTTCTGGTAGAGAACAAACCAGACCCAGGGCTCTGTGAATAGGTTGTTTCTGGAGAGCATGGCAATCTACCTTTGCACTGTGGGGCCTATACTTACTAGTGTGAGGCTGGTCAACATGTAGATCCCGGCCTCATTTTCTTGTAGTTCCAAAAATTGTTGTTGAGTCCTCAGCTGGTCATGTTCAGAGCTCTATAGGTGGTCCTTTGTAATGAATCTGTGTGGGAGATTTGCTTATGCCTTTGGAAGATTCATCAGGAGAATCTGTCTCATGGTTGGAAAAGACAAGACAGTCAAGTCAGCCCCACTGAAGAATAAACTATTAGAGCAGATGGAGGCAAAAAACTTGTGGGAATGACAAGGCAGTGACAGTTCATTCTCTCTTTTATCAAAGAAATGCTTAGGAGCTTGATTGTAATATCCCTGCTGAGATATGAACAGCACCTTCCTTCACAGTGTTACTGAAGCCAAGTAGCTTGATTACATCAAGTACTGATGTAATTATTTATGGAACAGGGTATTATCTGAGTATTCTCAGTGAGTGCCATTCAGTGAAGTTCAATGGAGCTACTTGTGGAGTGAGATGCTATTCAGTCACAAGTAAGGGCTTGTGAGAAATCCTATGCAATTGTTTGTGGGTGCTATTGTAGTTAGAGATTTCCTATTAAGTTCTTTTTGTTTTTAAGACTAAAAGGGAAAAAACCCCTATGTGGACAATTCACTTGGGTTTTTACATTGTTATTTTAAATGAGACATTTATGAAGCTGTACTCTTCAGCGTGCATATGTTTCAGGCTGAAGATACTCTTTGAAATTCTGCCCTGATCTGTTCCATATAACCTGAAAGTCAATGAGGTGTGCCCTTTTTGTGCCTTTTGTCTCATTGTGCCTAAGGAAAAAATATCTAGTCTTTTCAGTAAGTAGGCTATTTATGAATCTGTGTAGGCAAGAAAATTTTAATAGAAACAGGAACATGTTTTAACACATTACACTGTAATTGTGGCTAAATTTGAGTCAAAGAAGTGTAAATATTTAGGCAAGAGTTAAAAATATTCCCTGCTGTCACTAGCAAAATATATAGGTAGTTTCCCCAAATAATGTAAAAATTGTCTCCAAAATTAGCTAGTCTTCATCTTACTGCTATCACTGTCTGACCTCAACCAGGGTTTGCCTTTCAAAATGCAACTAATTAATGTATGAATTGTTTAATTAGTTGTACCTCAGTTTAATTTCTCATTATCTAGAAAAGATATCTCTCTCATTTTTAGTTTGTTTCTAGCATTCCTGTACCATGACTTTATTTGCACAAATATAATAACATTTCCCTAAATATTCTAATTTTTCTTATACAGTTGTTATCAGGAGTGTATTTCCAAGCTAGCAGACAGCATGCATCTCGCTATCAACATGGAAGCAACTTTTCTGAGCTCCTTACTGGATGGTCACAACTAATAACAATGAGAATCTAAAGGACAGCACCACTTTAACTTCCTAAATCCAATCCTGCCTTTTGTTAATTCTCACGTCCGTGTGTTTAGATTCAGTAAGCATTAGACTGTTAAAGGACTATGGAATCAGATCCTTCTTTTTGTCATTAACCTCTTATTTTGACATTATTTTTGTAAGCCAGTTAATTACTTGGCAC